TACACTTCACTAACACCTTCCACCCCAACCTTAAATTTACCTGGACCATCTCTAACACCTCTCTCCCCTTCCTGGACCTCTCTGTCTCCATATCGGGCAACCACCTCGAAACCGATATTCATTTCAAGCCCACCGACTCCCACAGCTACCTAGAATACTCCTCCTCCCACCCACCTTCCTGCAAAAATGCTATCCCCTATTCCCAATTCCTTCGCCTCCGCCGCATCTGCTCCCAGGATGAGGCATTCCACTCCCGTACATCTCAGTTGTCCTCGTTTTTCAAGGACCGTAACTTCCCCTCCTCGGTGGTCGAGAACGCCCTCAACTGTGTCTCCCACATCTCCCGCACCTCATCCCTCACACCCCGTCCACGCAATAAAAACCAAAAAAGAATCCCCCTCGTCCTCACGTACCACCCCACCAACCTCCGGATCCAACGCATCATCCTCCGACACTTCCGCCATCTGCAATCCGACCCCACCACCAAAGACATCTTTCCCTCCCCACCCTTATCTGCTTTCCGGAGGGACAACTCTCTCCGTGACTCCCTTGTCCGCTCCACACTCCCCTCCAGCTCCACCACACCCGGCACTTTTCCCTGCAACCGCAGGAAGTGCTACACCTGCCCCCATACCTCCTCCCTCACCCCCATCCCAGGCCCCAAGAAGACTTTCCACATCAAGCAGATGTTCACCTGCACATCTGCCAATGTGGTATACTGCATCCGCTGTACCCGGTGTGGCTTCCTCTACATCGGGGAAACCAAGCGGAGACTCGGGGACCGCTTTGCAGAACACCTACGCTCGGTTCGCAACAAACAACTGCACCTCCCAGTCGCGAACCATTTCAACTCCCCCTCCCATTCCTCAGACGACATGTCCATCCTGGGCCTCCTGCAGTGCCACAACGATGCCACCCGAAGGTTGCAGGAACAGCAACTCATATTCCGCTTGGGAACCCTGCAGCCCAATGGTATCAATGTGGATTTCACAAGTTTCAAAATCTCCCCTCCCCCCACCGCATCCCAAAACCAGTCCAGCTCGTCCCTGCCTCCCTAACCTGTTCTTCCTCCCACCTATCCCCTCCTCCCACCTCAAGCCGCACCTCCATCTCCTACCGACCAACCTCATCCTGCCCCCTTGACCTGTCCGACCTATCCCCTTCCTAACTCCCTACCTACACTCACCTTTCCTGGCCCCATCCCCGCCTCTTCGACCTGTTTGTTTCCTCTCCACCTGTCCTCTCCTCTATCCCTCTTCTATCCGCCTCCCACTCTCTCCCTATTTATTTCAAAACCCCCTTCCCCTCCCCCTTTTCTGATAAAGGGTCTAGGCCCGAAACGTCAGCCTCTCTGCTCCTATGATGCTGCTGGGCCTGCTGTGTTCATCCAGCCCTGCACCTTGTTATCTGTGATAGGATTGTCTTAAGTATTAGAGATCTTGCCATGACAGCACGTTTGCTGAGAGAAAAGGAACTTAGTCTGAAGAAAGATATCAACATGTGAAGAAGCTCTGAGCTTGTCAATCATCAGCTGGCGTGTATTAATGGGAGAATGGACAAGACTTTGCATCGTGCTGAGACACATTCCAGGCCAAATAAGAACAATACATTGGGAAAAGGCAAGATATTTTTGCTGAAAAGCCAGTAGAAAGCCCAAGATCAGAGAAGAAGGATGTGGTTGTGATGTGGATCACAACTGGTGCTTTTTCAAATTACACTCCCAGGGTGGAGCCATTCAGTGACATCCTTGATTCTGGAAGCACAGAGGCAATGATGTGTGCCAACACAAAACTAATCCCATAATGATTGAATCACCAATCAGTATGGCTCCTCCTTATACCTCTTTGGTGTCATGAACTCTGGCTGCTCTCACTTGATGAACCTTCACTCTTACCAAGATTGAGAATTCAATGCTGGTTAGAGGGTCAGATACACTTGGGGGATTCTTGTACTAATTATTCCCTGTCTTCCTGTAGATCCTTAAGCTGTAGGGTGATCACATCCAGAAATATGCTCTTTGTAAGGCTAACAACTTCACAAATGAGAAAGAAGGGTTCTGAATGAAGAAGGGACTCGAAACATTAACTCTGCTTTCTCTCCACAGATGCTGCCAGACTTCTGAGCTATTCCAGCAATTTCCGTTTTTGTTTCTGGTTTCCAGCATCAGCAGTTCTTCAGGGTTTTTTCCTCAAAAAATTAGGAGGCTTTTTTAAAAGAAATTTTGTTCATGACATGTGTGCATCTTTGGCTGGGCGAGCCATTTATTGTCCGAATGTATTACCCTAATTGATTAAGAGTCAACCACAGTGCTGTGGGTCTGGAGTCACATGGAGGCTGGACTGGGTGAGCTCAGAAGATTTCCTTTCTGTAAGAATATTAGTGAACCAGGTGGGTTTTTAATGACAAGTGACAGTGTCTGCTATTGGACTAGTTCTTAAGTTCCAGATCTTTATTGACTTATTAATTTCATGCTCTGTCGTGGTGGAATTCGAACCCATGTGCCCAAACTAATGTCTGGATGACCAGCACATTCTAATGACTGGTGACATTCCAACTAAACAACCCAATGATGCCAGCTGCTGCTCAAGCACTGAAAATCCAGAGGTGAGATTGACACCATTTCCCACAGACTTGCTGTCTTGTGGAAGCATCTCAGAATTCTCACATGGAACAGGATTACACACTGCTATGCAACCACACCAAAAACCCGACCACATCGATACCCCAAACCCCGCTCCCGTTCTCTCTCACCCCTGCCTCCCAATTCCCAGCCCCACCACACACTTCAGCGACAACTCCATGCACAGCCATACACCCTGGGTGACCCCACACACTCCCTGCCCAGCCTCTAGTACCTTGTCTGCTGCATTTTTACTCATCATGAGGGGGAAGATCCTCTCCTGGAAACGCAGTGATGCAGTCTCATTATTGTTGCAGCCATACATGAACGCGTTGTTCTTCCTGCTGTGTCCATGGAAATCACAGTAAACGACCACGTCCCGCTCCTCCAGTAACCTGGGTGGGGAGCCTCACTGTCATCTCATCATTCACTTCCGACCTATTCAATATTTACTCCTTCCTCATTTAATATTCCCCTATTCAGTATCACCACAATTGTACCCCCACTAGCTGTCCATTCACATTCTCCACGCTCACACTCTCCTCATTCAATATCTCCCTATTCACACTTTGCCCATTCACCAATTTCCTGTTTGCACTTGCCCGGTTTGCCCCACACTCTTACATTCACCTGCTGCAGATTCGCACAAGACCCATTTACCAGCTCCACAATCGCTGCCTTGCTCTTTAAATCATCATCATTCACCTTCAGCCTCCTGTTCTCACTGTTTCCACACTCACACCCTCCCCATTTCCCACCCTCTTCTCTTCCTGGTATCTGGGTTACTCGGGGGGTGAGTTGCTCACCTCTGCACCATATTTCTGGTGTGCCAGACACAGGGGAAAGTGTCCCGGAGTATGGTGCGGTAGTTCCGGTTCAGGTCACGGCCCGTAAGTGAGCAGCGGTAGTTGCCCGTTATCACTCCATCCGGATTGAGCATGGGCACCACTTTAAAGATGAACATGTCGCGCAGGAGACGGGCATCATCGGAGCTGCCCAGGAGGTGCTCCAGGAAGCCGGCCATCACCCAGGAGCTGTTGGTCTCCCCAGGGTGAACTCTGGCCGTCACCACCACTGCCTTCTTGGCGGGGCTGTTCTTGTGGCTCCTGGGCGGTGAGGTGATGGTCAGTATGTGCACGATATTGCCTGCCAGACTGCGACATAAGACCCGCACCTTGCAGTACTGGGACTGGACTGGGTCACTGGCAATGGCTGCCAGATAGCGTTGTAGGTGGGTGTAGGTGTATGGGTATGAGTGGGCAAAGTAGCACGTGTCATTCCCATGGGGAAACTGGAAACTCCAGGTCAATGAGTACAGGCTCCTGCCCTCTTGGCTCAGGCCGTTCTTGTAGTACCGGATCTGCTGGCCCACTCGGTACCAGCCCACCTGCCTCTGCGCAGCCTCCTGTTCCGAGTACAGCAAAGGCTTCAGGCCCTGACTGTACAGGCTGCTGGCCTTCATCAGGTTGACAATGGTGAAGCGATAAGTGACTCCTGCCCTGGTGTTCCTCACTCGGAAGTAGTACCACTGGGTGTGTTTGTCTGTGTATAGGTCCGTGCGGAGAGTCAGCTCATACTCGTAGGCCCCTCTGCAACACAGGAAGCTCCCATTAGCAAAGTGAACCTCACTCCCGACACCTGCCCTACTCCCACCCCCACCCCACCCTCCCCTCTGCCTGAAACAGGCTGCCCCCCACCTGTGTCTGTTTGTAGAGCCACCTGACCTCTCCCCAGTGTAAATGCCCAGACAAACTAATGCAGCTCCGGCACACAGTTGATGCAAACACCAAGCAGGAGATAAGTTCAAGGTGCAGCTGGTTGGTGTGGGACAGGGAATGGGGGTTTCAACCACAAAGAGGGTGAACAGGAGTGGACAGTTCAGAATGTTGCACAGAGCTGAGCAGAGCTATCCTCACAGTCCACACAAGGGTTGCACTCACACTCTGATGGCTTTTTGCAGATTTCCGCTCTCAAATCTAGACTCAAAGATCAGTGAGTTGCCATCTTTGGTATTGGCACCAACTGTAGCGAGATGGAGCAGACCTCGACGACCTCCAACACGGGAACAGGTGAAGTACGAACCTTTCCTGGCTGTGAGAGCATACAAGCATCAGGCAGTAAATACCACCACAGAGCAGGTAAAAGCAGAGCAATAACACAGAGACACTCAATCCCAATATCCACAGGGAAGAGGGGCACTCAATCCCAATATTCACAAGGAGTGGAGCCCCGGAATCCCAATATCCACAGGAAAGAGAGGCACTCAATCCCAATATGCACAAGGAGAGGGGCCCTGGAATCGCAATATCCACAGGGAAGGGGAACTTCTCAATCCCAACATCTGCAGGGAAGGACAAACATCTCAATCACAATATCCATAGGTCAAAAATCACACAACACCAGGTTATAGTCCAACAGGTTTATTTGAAGACTCAAGCTTTTGGAGTCTTGCTCCTTCTTCAGGTGTCAGTGAGAGAGGTAGCATCAGACACAGAATTTATAAGCAAAAGATCAAAGGGTCATAGAACTGATGAGGTGTTGAACAAACCTAAGATGGGTATTAAATCTTTAATCAGTTACACTGGATTAATGTACAAATTCCCGAATTTCTTTCAAGTTAATGCTCCGAGATAACTAAAAGTTTTATCAGTTCCCTCAGTATACCAGAGGTGACATCCCAGGTCAGAGAATGTATTTTAGGTTTGAGGCCTTGTTAAGAATCTGGCTGTGTATCAATTTGGAGCCAGAGTGGTTTTATTTCCAAAGTAGGAATTTATAAAATGCCACATTGACTGCCTACAAATTGTGCACTTTTTGAACAAGATAGAATGTATCTGCAAATACAAATCTGCAAATGCAGGACCTCAAGCTAGTGATTTCTGGACTATATCTGGTGCCATGTGTCAGTGAGAGTAGGAATGGGAGGATTTGGCAGATGAATGCATGGCTTTCAAAAGTGAGTTAATGAGGGTTCAGGGCCAGCATGTTCCTGTTGGAGTGAAGGGTAAGCCTGGCAGGAGTAGGGAATCCTGGATTGCTAGAGTTACTGAGGTCCTGGTCAAGAAAAAGAAGAAAGGATATGACATGTATAGACAGTTGGGATCAAGTGAATTGCTTTAGGAGTATAGAGGGTATCGAAGTACAACTTAGAGAGAGATCAGGAGGGCTAAAAGGGGACACAAGATGGCTTTGGCAGGTAAGGTAAAGGAGAATCCAAAGGGATTCCACAAGTACATGTAGGGTAAAAGGGTAACCAGGGAGAGAATAGGGCCTCTTAAAGATCAACAAGGTCGGACCCACAAGAGATGGGTGAGATCCTAAACGAATATTTTTCATCAGTATTTACCATCGAGAAAGGCGTGCGTGCTAGGCAACTTGAGAAATAAATAGTGATGACTTGAACAGAGTCCAATTTACAGAAGAGGAGGTGCTGGAAGTCTTAAAAACATTAAGATAGATAAATCCCTGGTGCCTGATGAAGTGTATCCCAGGACTTTGTAGGAGACTAGGGAGGAAATTATGGGGCCCCTAGCAAAGATATTTGTATCATTGACAGCCATGGATGAAGTGCCTGAAGATTGGAGACTGGATGATATTGTGCCATTATTTTAGAAAGGCTGTAGGGAAATGCCTGGGAGCTACAGACTGTGAGCCTAACATCTGTGGTGGGTATTTTGTTACAGGGATTCTGAGAGATAGGATCTACAGGCATTTGGAGAGGCAAGGACTTATTTAGGGATAGTCAGCATGGCTTTGTGTGTGGGAAATTATGTCTCATGAATTTGATTGAGTGTTTTGAAGAGGTGACCAAGACAGTAGATGAGGACAGTGCAGTAGACATTGTCTACATTGACGTTAGCAAGGCCTTTGACAAGGTACCACCATGGTGGGTTGTTGAGTAAGGTTAAATCTCATTGTATCCAGGGAGAGCTAGCCAATTACCAATCGGCTTGAAGGAAGAAGATAGAAGGTGGTGGTTAAGGGTTGTTTTTCAAACTGGAGGCCTGTGACTACCACCCGCCATTTAGTTCAAAGCCCTGTCTACAGCCCTAGTTATGTGATTGGCTAGGACTCTGGTCCCATTGGAACAGTTCCCTCCTTCTCCAGTACTGGTGCCAATGTCCCATGAAGTCAAACCCATTTCTCCTCAACCAATCTTTAAGCCATGCATTTACTTGCTTAATCTTATTGATCCTGTGCCAATTAGCTTGTGACTCGGGTAGTAGTCCAGAGATTATTGCCTTTTTGGTTCTGCTTCTTAATTTAGCTCCTAGCTTTTCATACTCCCTTAGCAGAACCTCTGTCCTAGTTTTACCTATGTCGCTGGTACCTATGCGGACCATGACAACTAGATCTTTACCCTCCCACTCCAAGTTCCTCAACAGCCCAGATGAGATATGCCAAACCTGAGCACCAGGCAGGCAACACAACCTTCGGGGCTCTCGATCCTGGTCACAGAGTCTATGCCCCTAATTACAATATCCCTGATTACAATTACATTTCTCTTCTCTCTCCCCACTTGAATGGCTCCCTGCACCATGGTTCTGTGGTCAATTGACTCATCCTTCCTGCAGCCCCTATTCCCATCCACAAAGGGAGCAAGACTCTTGAACTTGTTGGACAAGGACAATGGCTGAGGCTCCTGCAGCTCTACCTGCCTCACTCACAGCCACACCCTCCTGTCCCTGACCACTGGCCGAATTCAAGTTAGTTAATCTAAGGGGTGTGACTGTCTCCTGAAACACAGTGCCCAGGTAACTCTCCCTAGTCTAAATCTAGAGGGCACGGGTTTAAGGTGAGAGGGAAGAGATACAAAAGGGTCCAGAGGGGCAATTTTTTTCACACAGAGGGTGGTGAGTGTCTGGAACAGGCTGCTAGAGATAGTGGTGGAAGGGAGCACAATTTTGTCATTTAAGAAACATTTGGACAGGTACATGGATGGGATAGGTATGCAGGAATATGAACCAAAATGCAGGCAAATGGGACTAGAATAATTGTCAAAACTGGGCAGCATGGACAAATTGGGCCGAAGGGCCTGTTTCCATGCTGCTAACCTCCATGACTCTTTCCATGGGGAAGAGGGCCATTCAAACCCAACAGAAAGATGGAATGGGTAAGCTCAGTTCAGATCAAGGTGTTGGGTGGTGTGCTCTCACTGTAAGCTAAACCTGGCTATAGGGGTCACAGACCCCTTTCCTGAAGTTTCATCCTGGAGTTCACAGCAGGTGGGGAGTCGTTGATGACCCACTCAAATCCTGGGGTAAAGACACATCTGAAAGATTCTCACTGGAGTGTAATCAGTTGGAAATAGATTCAAATACACGTATGAGTCAGGTTATCCAAAAGCTTTGGTAAACAAGGAGATTATGGCGAGCAGGCCAGGACAGAAGAAAAGCTGAATGAGTGAAACTGAGAGCTGAGAGGTGGAGAGAATGGGTTGGCTGTGCTGAAAGCAGCTTAATGTGATGACAGGGCTGGGTTGAAGGGGTAGGGTAAAGAACATGGAAGAAGGTGTTCAGATCCTAAAATGATTGAACTTGATATTGAGTCTTGAAGGCTGCAGAGTCCTCAGGTAGAGAATGACTTGCTGTCTTTCCAGCTTGCATTGAGCCTCGCTGGATAACTGCAGCAAGCCCGAGACACAGATGTTGTTCAGAGAACATGGTAGTGTGTTGAAATTGCAGGCAACTAGAAGCTTGGGGTTATGATTTGCAGACAGAAATTAGGTGTTCTACAAAGCGGTCACTCAGTCTATGCTTTGTTTCCCCAATGTAGGGGACACCATGTTGTGAACTAACATGGGGGTAATTTTTGGGTGATGGGTTGCCAGAAGGCAGATATGACAGAAATAGGGGAGGATAACACCGTAAAGGGATTTGAACACGAAGAACGAAAATTTTAAATTTGAAACAAAGCTAGAATACAGCGTTCACCTCCATCGATACAGAATACCACGGTTCTGCTATGTTCCCCAGCACACTCTGGCATCTCCTCCTCCTGCTGACTGGGCTGGGACAGTTTCTCAGCTTCTCGAGGGCTCCACTCTGCCAGGAGAAACACAAAAAAAGTTCAGCCACACTGGCCACAACAAAGAAATAAAAGGTCACTCCAAGGAAACACGTTGGTATCATGGCCCAAACATCCAATGGGGACAGGTTCTTCTGATGGGGTTGTTTCTGCAGTGGTCTGTCTGCTGTCTCAGGCACAGTCTGCCCCCTCCCCCAACACCATTCCCCCCCCCCCTGACACCATTAGCCCCCCCGCACCCCCCCCCCCCCCCCAAACTCCTGAGTACATCTCTCTGTGCTCTTACCAATGTGGTGGATCTGTTCCTTGATGACCTCGCACTCTATTGGCCATCGTGGGGCAAGCTGTGGCCCAGAGGTTGCAATAGCATAAAGACTGAGCGGTTCTCGAAGACGAGGAATGTGCCTTCCGGCATGATAGGCAAACATAAGCTGCCTGGTCCTCAGTAACTGGGACTCGCTGAGGAAGGAATCTGGAATGTTCAAATGGAAACACCCCTATTATATTCCAGCACTGTTTGACAGGCAGACAGTGAGACTGGGCTCTGTCAATGTGTAAATAGGTGTTCATGAATTAACTGTGTACAAAGACTTGATCTGCACTTAATGACCCCCCACAAACACACAAGATAAATTCCAGAGAAATAACCCCTCACCCCACACACACACACACACACACACACACATCGTACTGGAATTCGATCCCCACTGTTCCTGGAGTTGTCACAAAAATTAAATACTTTTATTTAAATTCACAAAGTGGCCAAATCTGACCATGTTTCGTAAACTGTCAATAAATCAGCTTTTTGATCAATTTTAAGCATGAAAGTGAACAACCTGTCTAAATCTTCACCCGTGATCATCCAAGCCCAAAAACCTTTGCTTCTCATCTTACTTCTGTGCGGTAACAAGAGTGCTAAGGCTATGCCTTGTTTTCTCTTTGTTAAAGAAGTAACCCAGATCCACACTGTAACTGCATTCGTCCACTGGTCATAAGGCTCATTTTCAGGAAATGCGTGTGCAATCAAACCCTAAAATATACACCGATATGTCAAAGGATAACTATTTAAACAGGATTCAGGTCCACGCTTTTGTGAGAGCTTTATTTCACTCAGCCACATTCCATAAATCTTACCCTCCTCCCCTACTGATTACTAGCTTTCCATATTTAAACAATCAGTTCAAACCCAATTAACTCTTAACTAATACATCCATCACTGTTTGCCTCATTCCATTAGTTCTCAGGCATTCCTGCCGATCAAACAAAAAGATAACAGCTCAAACATTAATGTAACCTTCATACATAACCCCATCATGCCAATCCCCCATCAATCCACCTTCTCTGCTCCTCCTTTCCTGCCTTGTCCCTCCCACTCCCCCTCACTCACAGTGTAATGTTGGGACCTCCTCCTCTCCCTCCTCCCGCTCAGTCGAACTCCTGCTGATCTCAGTCTGCCCTCTGCTCGGGGTTGATGGAGCTTCTCCATCCGGCTTCATGCTCACGGGGAGCCAGGCTCTGTAACCTGAACCAAGGACATAATGTCAGCATCTTTCACTTCAACCCTCCATCTCCACCTCCATCTCCACCTCCACCGTCAATATCTCCATCATCAGCACATTCATCGTCAGCGCTATTTACTCCACCCCTCCACCATCACCACCCCCCCCCCCTCCACCATCACCACCTCCTCCCACTCCACCGGCACCACACTCCCACTCCGTCACCTCCCCCTCCCGCTCCACTGGCACCTCCCTTTCCTCCATCAACACTCCCTCCACAGTCAACTCCCCCTCCCCTCCACCATTACCTCCACCGTCAACTCACCCTCCCTCACTCTGACACTGCCAGTGTTTAGATTGGTCACTCTGGCACTGCTGGACACTGTCTCTCACAAACAACAGTTTGTTGATTGTTTGCTCTGCCTTCATTTATAAATTAAAATAGTCCCCTTTCCTTCCAGCTCTCAGCCTTCCAGAATTGCTACCAGCCCTTTAATGAACACCTCCCCTCTAAATTAAAATGAACTGAATGCCCTCGCCTTGAAGTCCCAGACTCTGGCACTAGCTGGACACATAGCCTACTTGTAAAAAGAGAACAATATAATTATAGGAGCATACAGAATCAATCAGCCTCTCAGGTTCCCTCCCTCAGAAGGATAGAAGTGGAGACACTCGCTGAAAATTCCATAACGAGCTCCACAAACCTGACACAGTGACTGATAGTCAAATGCAACAAGACCTGGACGATATCTAGGCTTGGACTGACAAGTGGCAAGTAATATTCGCACTAAAAAAAATTGCCAGGCAATGACCATCTCCACTAAGAGACAATTCAACCACTGCGCCTTGTGGTATATGCTTCTGCAAGGGTTAATACTAAGGAGTGCCCTAGGCTGCCTTCTTGAACCAACGCAGTCCACATAAACACACAGTGCTGTTAAGAAGAAGGTATTTTTTAAATTTATTCATGGGATGATGACATGATTATGATATCATAAGCTGGGTCAGTATTTATTGTCCATTCCCCATCGCTGGAGAAGGTGATCATGAATTGCAGTTACAAAGGTGTTGGACATGCACAGTGCTTTTAGCAAGTTCCAGGATTTTGACCGTCCTATGCAGGAGGCCATTCGGCCCATTGTGCCTGCACAAATTCTATTACCTAGTGCCAATCTCCTGCCATTTCCCCATATCCCTGTACGCCATGTCAATCCAAATAATTGTCCAATACCCTCCTAGTTCCTTGACTGAACCTGCCTCCACCACATTTCCAAGCAATGCATTGAAGACCCTAACAGCTTACTGCATGAAAAACCTCCTTCTTCCTTAAGACACTCAACTCTGGAGCAGGTGGGATTTGAACCCTGGTCTCCTGACTTAGAGTTTAGGAATATTACCATTGTGGCACAAGAGCCCTCGACCTCATTTCTACTCTTAAAATAACAAACGTTATCGGGTTAAACAAGTATCAGTGATGAACTGTAACAAACAAAATTAAATGATTAACAGATAGTTACAGAAATACAACAGAAGCTTATTAAATTAAAATAACATCGTCCAGGCTAATGATGCACTCCAGCCCCTGCGGTGCCCATTGGTCTCGAAAGGCCTCAACCGTGCTCAGATGAGCACTATGCGCTCCCTCTTCAGGGACACCCGAGCACGACGTAACCACGAAAGAGGGCCAGACAGTCAGGAATGATGAGACCATCCGTGGCACGCTGACTGGCCTTGTTAATGACCAGGCCCAGGAGCAGACCCACAAGAAGGCTTGTAGACTGGTCTCCCCCAACTCCCTGCACCAGGTCTCTGCAGGTCAGGAGCATGGGGGCTGAAGGGCAGCCAAAATTTAAGGAGCAGCCCATCAAAAAATGAAAGAGGGGCCACAAACAGGAGCACTTGATGTACACATGAAAGACTATCCCCTCCAGGCCACAAAGACTACACATGGTCTGGCACTCAGTGAAATAACTCAAACTGCAGTTGCACAGGATCATTGGTATAACACTCTCCATCCCAGATCCCTGATGTAAGAGGGGAAAACACCTTTATGGAAGGTCCTCTACTGGAGATCACCATCACCAGAGGGCAAAACATCACGCCAAGGTGTGTCTTGGGCAGTGGGCAAAGGTGGAAAAGTGGAGAGTGTGACTTTTTAGGATTGGGCTAAGGCAGATTTTAATAAAATAAGGAAAGATCTGGCCAAAACAGACTGGGAACAGTTAGTTGAGAGTAAATCTACAGCAGAACAGTGGGACGCATTCAAAAAGGAAATAGGGAGAGTATAGGCCCAACACATTCCACAAGGGTGAAATATGGGAGCAACAAACCCAGAGAACCCTGGATGTCTATAAATATTCAGAACTGGTTAAAAAGGAAAAGACAGATGTTTAATATGTACAGGTGGAGCAAAGCAACGGTGGATCTAGAGGAGTATAGGAAATGCAGGGGTGATCTTAAGAAAGTAATTAGGAGAGCAGAGAGGGGCCATGAGAAAATGCTGGCAAGCAAGATTATGGATAATCCAAAGATATTCTACCAGTATATCAAGAGATAGAGAATAACCACAGAAAGAATAGAGCCTATTAGGGACCAGGAGGGTAATGTGTGTGTGAATCTGGAGGACACTGGTAGGGTGTTAAATGAATATCTCACATCTGTCTTTACTTGGGAGAAGGATGATGCATGTACAGAATTTGAGAAGGTGGACTGTGAAGAGCTTGAGAAGTTTAATGTAAGAAGTGAGGAGGTATTGGAGATTTTGGTGGATTTAGAAGGGGACAAATCCCCAGGTCCAGATGAGTTGCATCCCAGGTTGCTGTGGGGGCGAAGGAGGCAATTTCAGGTGTCCTGACCCAAATGTTTAAATCATCCCTGGCCATGGAGGAGGTGCCAGAGGACTGGAGGACAGCTAACGTAGTTCCACTTTACAAGAAGCACAATAAAGATAGACCAGGGAACTATAGACCAGAAAGAACAGGCAGGGTGAAGTTAATAAACACGAAGGGACTGGCAGTCTGAAGTGTGTCTATTGTAATGTAAGGAGTGTAACAGGGAAGGCAGATGAGTTACAGCCTGGCTTAGTACATGGGACTACAACGTGGTAGTCATTACAGAAACTTGGTTGAGAGAAGGGCAGGACTCTCAACATTCAATGTTCCACGTATAGATGTTTCAGAAGTGATAGAGATATAAAGAGGTATGAATTGCATTACTGATAAGAGGGGAATATCACAACTGTACTAAGAAAACATCTTGGAGGGCTTATCCAGAGAGGCAACAACTCAGGAATAAGAAAAGTGCAATCACTTTGATGGGTTTATACTTTAGGCCTCCCAACAGCCAGCGAGAGATACAGGAACAGAAATGTAAGCAGATTGTGGAAAGATGTAAAAATAACAGGGTTTTTGTAGTGGGTGATTTTAACTTCCCAATCATTGACTAGGACATCCCTTAGTGCCAAGACCTTGGATGGGGCAGAATCTATTAGGTGCATTCAGGAAGGTTTCTTGTAACAATATGTAGATATGGCAACTGGGGAAAGGGCCTCAACAGACCTTGTATCAGGGAATGAGCCTGACCAGGTAACTGAGGTTTCAATGGGGGAGCATTTTAGAAACATTGATCATAACTCCATATGTTTTAAGATAGTTATGGAACGGGTTGAGACTGGTCCTCAGATAAAGGTGCTAAACTGGGGGAAGGCTAATTACAACAGGAAAAATTGGATAGGGGACAGCTTTTTGAAGGTAAATCCAAATCTGACATGTGGGACTCTTTTAAAGGCCAGTTGATCAAGTTTCAGGACCAGCATGTTTCTGTGAGGTTGAAAAATAAAAATGGTAAGATTTGGGAACTTTCAATGATGAGAGAAATGGAAAGGTTAATCAAAAAGGAAGCATATGTAAGGTTTAGGAAACAGAAGTCAAACAAAGCCCTTGAGGAATACAAAGGAAGCAGAAAAGGAGGGCTAGAAGGGACCATGATATACCCTTGGCATGTAGGATTGGGATGTGGTCTTGTAAAATAGTAAGGTAGATATCTCCCCTGGGCCTGATGGGGTCTATCTCAGGATGCTGAAGGAGGCAAGAGAGAAAATTGCTGAGCCTTGTATCCTCTTAGCCATAGGCAAGGTCCCAGAAGACTGCAGAATACCCAATGTTGTTCCTTTGGTCAAGAAGGGCAACAGAGATAATCCAGAAAATGATAGGCCAGTGACTTGTACATCAGAGATAGGGAAATTATTGGAGAAGGTTCTTAGGGACAGCATTTACATGCATTTGGAGATGAGTGCAATTATTAGGGATAGTCAACATGGCCTTATGCAGGGGAGGTCTTATCTCACAAATCTGATTGAGTTTTCTGAGGAAGTGACAAAAATGATTGATGTGAGTAGGGCAGTTGTTGTCTACATGGACTTTACTAAAGCATTTGACAAGCTCCCTCATGGTAAATTGGTGGAGAAAATTAAGTCACACTTATTGACCTGTGGTGAGTTGGCAAGTTGGATACAAAATTGGCTTGGCCATAGAAGACAGAGGGTAGTTACAGAGGGTTGTTTTTCTGACTGAAAAGTTGTGTTCCGCAAGGATCAGTACTGGGACCTCTGATTGAGATGAGCATGTGGGAAGGATGGTAAGTAAGTTTGAGGATGACATCAAGATTGGCCAGTTGGTTGACAGTGAGGAAGAAGGTGTTAGGATACAGGAGAATATAAATAGATAGGTCAGATGGGCAGATCAGTAGCAGATGGAATTTAACCTAGTGAGTGTGAGGTGATGCATTTTGGAAGAAGAAACAAGACAAGGGAGTACTCAATAAATAGCAGGACACTGGGAAGCTCAGAGGAACAGGGGGTTCATGGGAAACTTGTCTGCATATACTTTAAGGTGGCAGGGCAGATTAGCCAGGTACTTAAGGCAGCATACGGTACATGCCATTATCAGTCACAGTATAGATTATAAGAGCAAGAGATGGAACTTCATAGACTTTTGGTTAGACCACACCTGGAGTACTGTGTGAA